GTCAGCACTCAACTTTGAGAGACTCAACGTAATTGATTGTTCCAAGTCGTCGAGTACAGTCTATCCTTTGCCTCAAACTCCGTGAGAAATATGGCACTGGCTTGGCTGGCCGGTGTGGTCGTATACTATGTAAAATCCGTCGTATAGAATCGTGGATGCTGTGAGTCGGTGACTCCACCTGTTGAACTAGTCCAAAGCCCGTTTATCATACCTAGTTACCAACCGATGCGTATCTAGTCTAGGTTGCCTAGGTACCCTGTCGACTAGGTCACTATTCTCCATTCCCCTTCTCCCGAGTGGCTTTGCGAAAGTGGATCGCCAACGCTGTTCAAAACGTGTACCTACATGAGTGCGTGCATCGGCTTTTGTTTTCCCAATTCTTGCCTGGAAGTACTTTTAGGTCTTGACTCGATGCGATCCGCCACAAGGGCGCATCTGAAAAGACTCCAGCCCAGCTAAGCTCGAGAATTCCAGCGAAAAGTGGTGTGTCGGGAGATCGCATGTCGGCGATGAGAACCAGTGATTTCGAATGCTTGGTTTGAGTTAAGATAGACGAGATTGCTGATGATCCGCCAATCGCAATGCCCATGTACGCAGGGTGGGCCATGTTTCAGCCTACCATTGTGCACCGGTCTGCCCCAGCCAACGGACCGTGCCCGCGATGTGGAGGAAGAATGGAGGCCAGAAGGAGATTTGAAGCGACAGTGTTTTGTGGCCTGAGTTTGGGCTCTGTGATGATGGTGGTGATGATGGTGGTGGCTGCTGGGGTGAGAGATGGCCGATGATGGCTGATGGCGGTGTTCTTCGAGAACGCCATCTAGAGGATCAAAACATAACAGGCCTCAGGCATCAATTCAGCTACCCTCAAATTCCAGATCTTGCTTTCGAAAATGCTCATGCTTCTAGCCGTTAACTGTTTCACTTGCTCACTATATATTGATCATTCTGGAATAAACTCTAACTCATAGAAGCTCAGTGTAGACTTATTGAACTACTCTACTACAAGATAGACGAAAGTTGTCTGGCTTTTTCGATGAAAGGTCCATCTTCACGCGAAACAAGTAAGATGTTAAGGTGATCCAAAATTCGAATGACGAAGGCAGTCCAATCGATCATTAGTGAGGAGACTCTAGCCAACTTGAGCACATCTTCAAGCTTGATTAGAGCCTCTCGTCGCAAAGGCGAGGCGGGTTGGCTATCATGGTTGTAGCGCAGACGTTCACGTGAGATGAAGTCATACAAAGTCTATATCTCACTTTCGTTCTTAAAGGCGAGATGAAGTGTCCTTATTGAACTACGTGTAAGCCGATAGAACCGATGCTTGCATGTTATAGAGAACACTTGTTCAGCCAGCCTTAAGGGTAAGGGAGTATTAGGAATGAAGGCTTTCGAATCACGATTTCGAACATTGACGTGGTTCAGATCTTCAGGCAGAAGGCTTCCTATGGCTTTGTATGACTTCGTGTCGCGGACAGTCGAGGCAAAGATCGAACTAGCCCACCGACATCCGAGAAGCAATGAAGCGATCCAACAGAGGGATTCTTCCCAAGTATGAATCTCTGATGGTCGAAGAGTTCTGGGCCGGTGGGAAATAGTATTAATCCGTTCGCTCGCTGGACGGACGCAGAAACAAAAAGCCGGCCCTCCGCGTCGGCGCGATCATCCCAGTATGAAACTATATCCTCATTTCCCCCTCCCCGAGTCGGCATCAGACTCGGTGATAATGTACTCATCTTGTAAATTGGTCGCGAAATAATGTTCGTCGTGTCCTGCTCGTCGCCGACGGCATTCGGCGCTAACCCCTTCAAAAATCTCCCCGCCCAGGCAAGTTTAGCCTGTAAAACCTTGCCTGCTGTTCTCGCGTCTTCCGTCCTTCAACACTCTCTCTCCTCCATCAAGCCGGAGCATCGCTCCACCATCCACCATATCATTACCCCATAGTTATCATCTTCTTCAGCCAAGATGAACTCCCGCGAGCATCCTGATATGCCTCCGGCCCACTCCTATCCCTCCCCCAACGCGGCGCAGATGAGCCAGGGCGCCATGCAATACTACACAAACCGACAGTTGACTGCCGACGAACTTTTGTCCGCCGAGCTATCGCGCGAAACCTCTGGCCCTGGTCTTGCTGATGGCTCAAGTAATGGAGTTCACCATGGTCAATCAATGGTCCTTGGTTCCTCCAATCCCGGTGGTCCTGACATGGGTCGGCCTGCATCCCCAGATCAGCATCAACAACAGCACATGCTCCAATTTACGCCAAGCCAGCAAGTTGGTGTCGATCCAAATCACGACTTGAGCTACGGAGACCAGAGCGCGAGGAGGAAAAGATCGAAGATCTCTCGCGCATGCGATGAATGTCGGCGCAAGAAGGTAACGCGAATTACCCTGCTCGCCACGCGACGCGGTACGGTTAAACTGACAGTACCTCCCGATTAGGTCCGCTGCGATGCGAGCTCCGAGTCTGGCGTCGAGACGTGCTCCAACTGTCGTCGCCTTGGAGTTGTTTGCCAGTTCAGCCGAGTCCCAATGAAACGAGGTCCAAGCAAAGGGTAAGGATGGTCGCGCGGGTCGGGTGTCGAAAAAGGGTTTCGCTGATGCGGAGTGATAGCTACATCAAAGAGTTGGCGGAGCGCTTACACACATTGGAGAGTCAAATGCAACCTGCTATGGTGCATCCCGACATGCCATATCAACCGATGAACGAAGTCTCCTCCCCCCGGGCATACCAGGATTTTTCGCCTCCAATTGACAACGGTCCCATCGGTCGCAAAAGGACATATTCCATGTTTGACGGGCTTCCGAGTGCCTCCTTCACTCAACCACCGTTCAATACACGCCCCCAGACGGCTTTTGGTTGGTTAACCTCAACATCTTCATCATGTAATTTATCTAATTATCCCTAGACGCAGGAGAAAGCTCGACCGACCCATGCCATCCTTCCGTTGTCAACCACACAGCACCTAAACCTGGGAATCTGTTTTGGGCAACCGGCAATGAAAATGAGTTACCCCACGGCCTCGACATCCCGGATGTCCCGAAGCAAGCAATGGACGAAGACATGACTCCCGTGGATGTGGATGAGGGTGCTCTGAACGCGTAAGTGCCCTTGCCCGGGAATGCTGTATGCATTCGATCTACAATGCCACGTGCTAACCCCCAGTAGCTATTATCAAAGGATACACCCCGTATTCCCAATCCTGCCCAACTCAAAAGAGCGGTTTCTTGAGATTCTTCACCGTTGTGGCCGTGAGCTGCAAGAAATCTTTTTGTACAGCCTTTATACTGTGACGCGCGCCAACTTGGAGCGTCTTAGCGGCTCTTTTGAGAGGGTCACCTCCTACGAAAACGCACAGGATCTGCTTCTATACTACACGCGTCAGCCAGCTATCACGCGGTCAACTACAGTTAACCTTATCTGGCTTCAGAGTATACTACTTATGATTCTCGACTGTGATGCTCGTGGACCCGACAACATGGTTATGAAAGACGGTGTGCCCAAACATACTCTTATCCAGTCAGCAACCAAGCTCGGTTCGGATTTGGTTAAAGGTCTTAGTCTGTGGAAGTCTCAGCGGGTCACAGATCCTGACGTTGACTCTGATGCATCTCTTGCCCGACGCAGCTGGGTATCCTTGGCGATAATGGCGCGGTGGTATGCTATTAGTGTTGCTGACCCAAGTGTCTTGAACACGCTTGACGTTCGCAACCGTGGCGACGAACGAATTCTCGGCTCAGTTACTGCCAGAGTCTGCTGTATGTACCACACTGCAACATTCCACTAATTTGATACCGTCGACTAACTACCAGCCTGCTTAGCGTATTCTACCTTCCTCGTTGAACTGGCAAACCTGGTGACTGAAGAGCAGAATCTTTGCCAGTCCAACACTGGCCCTGGCCGGTTAGTTGCTAATAGCATGGCTGCGCGCCTAGAGCTACTTGGAGAGGCCGCAGATGTTGGAGATTATCGGCGACCTTCCGAGAACGCAGAGGACGGAGCGCCCTCCAGCTTCCTCGACAGCTTGCAAAACCAGCTGTACTGGACCTTGCGATTGTTGATCAAGCGCCATATCTTCATCTACACGCCCTACGAGATTATCTACGTCGCCGAAGAGGTTGTCAATGAATTGCACAGAGCCAGCTCACAATACCGTCTCACGTCTCCTTTCGATATTCACAGTCTGGCTCTGGCAAGTATGACCCTGCTCGAGGCCACGGTACTCCCTGAATATGCCAACGAGTGCTGGGATTCAATCAAGAAGGTCGAGGAAATTCTCGATCACCGCGCTAAGCGGGCGGCGGAATCAGGCGAATTTGGCGACATCTTCTACACCCCGGCCTGGGACTCCAAAATCCGCACCTTTATCGAATGGCGACGCGCCAAGGCACAGGAGAGTCAATTCCAAGACTCAAACATTGGCAGCGGCGCCAAGAGCGGCTCTGCAGCTCCGCCAATCCTGGGTCCGAACGAGCAGCGTTCTCTCCAGCATCTGGCTGACCTCGCCGTGGGCGCCGAGGGCCAAGTGGCTGCGGCTGCGAACGCTACCTCCCCGCCCCCCGTTATGCCCCCCACTGAAAATCACCTGACCATGAGCTCACCCAATCTGGCTTCTGGCACACAACCCCAGGGTCGTCTGGTTGTGGACTTCACCCTCCTCACGAGAGAAGGCTACCTGAACGTCTTTGCTGGCTTGATCTATCATCGATCTCGGTAAACTGCCCCAAGGTCCATCGATCTGTTGCTTATCGGCAAAGGAGGGTTTGCTATATCTCGGAACTTCTTTATCACTCGTGTCATTGTATCTTGAGCTGGAAACATTTTCTCTTCTCCCATCTACTTTTACTTTCTCAAAACTGAAAGCATTCCTGTTTCATTTCCGATCCATTGGCTTTTAATTAGCAAATTCGCGTGGCAATCAGCATGGTGCTACTTGCTACGATTGTGTATTTTTAGGTGGAATTCTATTCGTTACAAATCATGTCTCGCCTGCATTCCGACGCTTCTTCCTATTACTCCTTGCCCTAGTCGGCGGTAACATGGTGAGATCAAACAAGATATTCCCTTCACAACTTGAGGACCTGTGACGCAAAAGAAAAAAAAAGGCAGCAACAAGGAAACAAAGAAACGGAAATATCGGGGCATTTCATACTTCAAGGCAAGAACTCCGCTGTGAGATGAAAGCAAGAGAGAAAGAATCAAGGAAACCTCGCAATTATCGCGCGAATTCCGTTCAAACAGGAAACAAGAATAGGAAGGTACACGGGGAAAGACCCACCAGCCCAAATCACGTACCTCCTTTGCTCACCCCCAACTTCATTCGCTGCCATATACCCTCTACGTCTTCACAGAGCTTGAGAAAGGCGTCATCTTCTACGTGGCGACAGATCCAGGACTCGACGAGCTGCATGCGCTCGGTTGTGGATGCTGAACCATATGATGCGAGATCTTCCGGGGTTGGGAGTGGTATGTTCTGCAGCAGCAGCAGTTGTTTCCCCCGGGGTGGCTCTTGCTGCGTGGCTTCGGCTGTTGTGGTGGTGGGGATGTTGTTTATAGCTGATTCGAGAGAATAGTGCTTCTGGTGCTGGTCACAGGAGGTAATTGGCTGCCCGTTGCTCGGGGCTGCGATGAGGCCTGGATAGGAGGGCAAAGGGGGCATGGGAACTTTAGGGACTGGCTGGGACCCGCCTGGGTTAGCTGCTGGGGCTGGGAGTTGTGCGGCTGGGTTCGAGTACTTCAGGACGGTGATTCGGGGAGTTTCAGCTTGAGTTGGGAGGTTCGTTGAGGGGCAAGGTTGTGTCTTGTTTGCGGCAGAAGACAGAGGGGCTAGTTCTGGATATGGTGTAGACACTGTATACTGAAGTTAGAGAGGACGTCATGGGAGTTGAGCTTCACACCGCGCGCGCACGTTGCAGATATTCACCTGTGCTTCCAAATGCTGCCACATTCCCAGCGGGGATGCCGGTCGTGGCGATTGTGTGTGTCCTCTTCATGAGCGGTCTGGAAAATGGGAGAATCCTCACGGGAGGCGGGTCCAGGTTTGATGTCTCCAAGGGTAAAGTGGCAGTAGAAGGTCTGGACGGGTCAGCCTCCGAAATGCCCTGAATTTGTGAGGCAGAGGGTGGACATTGGCCATTGAGGGATTGCGTAAGGTTACTGTCTGTATACATGTACTTGGCGAGACTGCTGGGTGTATTGGTCGTTTGGTACGGATGGCTAGTGCCTAGGGTGGATGAAGATGCGGACGTTATCGATGTGCCTTGAGCCTCTCGTTAGCCAGCCGCAAGCTGTCTAACTGACATGTTCTGTGGGGATCAATACCTGCTGTGAGGCTAGGCGTCGATAGAGGGGCACATGTGCCTGGTGCATACATAGGGAGCCCGACACCGTTGTTGGAAGGTATTATGGCATTCGGTACTGTCGGCTCACTTGACATGGAGCCAGGTCTGAAGGATCCTGTGTCCCACTGCGAGGAGATCTGTTTATGATGCATGGGGGCGGGACTAGCTTCTGAAAATGGGCAGCTCATTTCGCTGAGGATTGCTAGAGCTGCATAGTAATCCCTTTCAGCGGAGAATTTGATCTGGAAGCGACGAATCTATGCGCAGGTCAGGCTTAATTGTTGTTTGTATGTGTGGGCCTGATTATCCACTCCTACCATGTTTCCGCGAGGATATTTCACTGCCAGACAGGGTAGCTTCACGACGACGGCGAATAGTGGCTTCGATGCTTGGCCTTGGGCAGACTGAGCTGGAGCTTTTATTGCAGCCATAGCAAAGAAGGAGAGATCGAGCTCTTCCTAGTCATATTCACTACTTAAGCATGAAGCTCATAAGATGGTATTGGTAGTGGAGTCTCACCATGATATCGTGGAATCGAGAGATTCTTAGGAGAATACTACTGCCAGACGAGCTATTCGTGGCCCTGGGATTTTCGAAAGTGGCTGCCAGATCATTGTTCCCTATAATATGGCCCCAATTCAATGGGCCTCTGTGATTCAACGATGTGGTGACATGGGAGAACTTGGCTAAGGATAGACGGGCAAGAGGGGTGTCTGGAAGTGGTTGTGAACTATAATGATGCATGATCTTTAAGACATGAAGAATTCAATTGACACGTTTTGCAATTAAATTGGGGTTAAGATATGATTCAATAGAGGTGGGAAGCAGAGTTTGTGAATCCGTAGTCAATGCTTCAAGTGGGCGACAAAAGACATGGACAGGTGATCAGGGAGACTAGAGCCGCCATCCAAAAAGTCGCCCACCCCCGGTCTGGCAAGCCACTAGTTAGGCTATCCTAGTTCAGCTCTAATTGCATCCAGTAGAAGTGAGTGATAAAGTAAAGGCAGAACATGGTCTCAAGTTCTGCTTAAGTCTTGAGCAGCTTACTGTTATAGAGCTTGACTTTGAGAAGAGATACAGATCAATACAGAGAAAGTCAGCTTGTATTTGGAGATAGAGAAGACCTCGTGATGGATAGAATTCTTACAACTTTTCATCCTGAGGACAAATTGGCTCTCCAAAACAGTTCTTAAGCCAGGAACTGTGAACTATGGAGATATAGTGTAATTTCTGCCTGACGCTTAAGGCAGAATGCGGCTGACTCAGCAGGCTCGCAAACAGGTCAAACACCATTGATAGCGGCAAGCCGGCCCGATGATGATCCGCGCACGCGCCTGAGGCCAGTAGGAGCAGCGCGGACTTTTGCCTGTGGATGGCAGGACGCTTCGATCGCAGGTTCAGCTTGTCTCTACATTCACATAGCCCCCCTTGGGCTCCAGCATAGGAATTGATTCTCCGTCTTGAAGTGCACTATCCGCCGATACAATCCCATTTATTGCGCAGCAATATCTCCCAGACAATTCACCAGAACGTCTATCGCGAACATCTTGTGTTGTTGTGCCGCCATCGCATCCTCTTCGGCTTCAAGCAGACTGTCTCCGTTAGCTTCGTATCGCGTCCAAGCTTCCAGATCGTCGCCCGAACCGTTCATCAATCCTAGCAAGCCAACTTTGAAATAAAACTGGAGCGCGCCCGATCCCGCAACACGATATTTTGAGCACCATTCATACGATAGGGAATTATTCTAGGGCGACCAGGAAAGGCACAGAAGGCCGCAGGAGGGCTTTAAAGGCACGGTGTGCTTTCACACTCACCTACAACTCGCCTTTTGATCTGGAGGTTCTGCGCTTGAGCTCTTGCGGGGATCTTGACAATATCCCAGTTCAACCGCGCCGAACTTGATCCTCAATTGGAGTCAGCGACAGACAACACGTCAAGGTTAAGACACAAACAAACGGATTGCGAACTCCCCGGAAACACAGGTCCAAGGGCCCAGGCGTGCTGTGAAGCAAGCCCAAAATGTCCACTCAAACCCCCCGCACATCCCTCCGAGGCAAGTGCTTTCTTGACGAAGTCCTTCCATTTACGGTCGAGAAGCTCCGACTAACAAATCACAGAGGGTTTGCGGCAGGCTCCCAAAGCAAATCAGCCCTTCATCCCCGACACTACCCCCGCCAGACGCTCACATGTAATCCACGCCAACCAGTCACCACAGCCCGTTCCTCTAGCATTGAGTCATTCCAACTCACCCGCACCGACTGTGAACAACTCCCAACCTTCGAACGAGAACTGGGAAGGAAGGGATCCGAAGGTGCCTATGAACACACGCGAGGTTGCAACCCCGGGTAATAGACCGGGTCTGTTTCTCAGCATGCATAGTAAAACAGCCAAGCAGCCCGACTTTTACGATCCTTACTTCCCTCTCAGATATCTAGAGGTTCCGAAGTGTAAGTGTTCATCGCTTGGAGCTGTTGCTCAAGTCATCTGCGTCAACTAACTAGTCTGCTCAGCCGATCACATCTATAAGCGTGCGCATTATGGGCTGCAATCAGGCGTTCCGGACGAAGTCGACTTTGCGCTATTCCACCTGGTTCAAATATCCAATCAGCGCTGGGACAAGTTCAAGTTCGAGGGCTTCCCATTGTTAGCGGAAACTTTGATGGAGAAGGCTCTAGATGTATCACTTCTTGTCACAGGAGTCAAGTGGGAGCTCCAGTACGACTTCCGTGAGCCCATGGCCCGCGTCAATGTGCTCAATTCACTATATGGCACACGAGATATACTCGAGAGAATCAAACATATCCCCGTTACATTACCGAAGGACACTCTGGAGACATATGAGTTCAATCATCGTCTACGAAATGTCAAAGAGGCAACTCTGGTACTCCGGAACATGGTACTACTCAAGGAAAATGCATTCTACGTGTCGCGTTATGCCAAAGGGCTTCTTAGAGATTTCCTGGTGATTCTGATCAACCTCCCAGATCAACCACGTCTCAACGAAATCAGAAATGATGCCTTGGATATCGCAGAGGAGGTGACGAAGTTCATGCGGACTGATCCGGAAGATCCACTTTGGCTCTCTCTGCTCAAATGCCTCGAGTCTCCTGATCGTGCTCATGTCGTGCGGGCTCTGTGGGCATTGACGCACTTTTCAACTGAGATCGATGAACCAGAAGGCAATCGGGCCATGGAGCGCATGCCCAAACAGACCCTGCAGCAACTATACTTTCACACACTTCTCGATTTGGACAAAGATATTTTGAGCGGTGCCTTGGACTTCTGGTATCAATACACTCTTTCGAGCGAGAATATCGAGACCATGCTCGATGTCTTCGATTTCCCCAGCATCTTCGTTCCGCGCATGATTGCACTACTGACGTACGAGGCCCGAGCCACCAAGATGGAAACCGTTCTACAAGATGAGAAGGTTGCGCCACCGCCATCTGAGATCCCCCGTGTACCCCCTGAGCTTCTTAAGGGTCTGATGGAATTATCTGAGCCCGAGCGTAGCTCACGCTGGCTGAGGTGCTGCTTTGTTGAGGATCCGGATTGCGAGATTACACAGATCGCCCTCTGGCAGGCTTACCAGAGCCGATTTGCTGATCCTCGCGTACCAGGAGGTGGTGTTCTTCCTGCCGCCGAGTTCATCAAGAACGTGAGCACGACTTTCACCAACGCTCAAGCACAAGTCATTAACGGCCCCGGCTCCTCCACTCGATTTATCATCAAGGGCATCCGCCCTCTGGAGACAGCCTACACCTTCCGGGGCTTTCCTTACATCTACTGCAGGTGGGCTGACGACTCGAAACCCACCAAAACCTGCCAGCGCGCCTTCTCCTCCCCGACGGACCTCCGCAACCACGTTTTCTCTGATCATATGCACCTCAAGCCCACCGAAACACCGGGCCACTACAACCTGGACAATGCGCCATCGGCTATCCACACTTGCCTTTGGGAAAACTGTACCCGATTCCGCGGCTCTAGCGCCAGTGCGAACACCGCCGCGGTCGCCGGCCACGTCGCCTCCCACCTCCCTGAAGAACGTCCCGCAGACGCAGAGGCCCCCGTCTCCAAACGGGCGGTGCTCCAGGAGCGTATTGTGCGCAAATGGTTCTACCTCAACACTCCAGTCAGTGAGCGCGGCGAGCCCGTTGGGGTTGCGTACAAAGCGGCCTTAGTCCTTCGCAACATTGCCCGCAACCTTCCCAGCGGTGTCGTCCAAAAATACAACGGTCTTCCTTGGAAGAAAGCCGTCTTCTTGAGTCACCGCCCAAAGATCGTGGAGGTATGGGATCGAAACCGCTCGCTGCGCAAGGAGCTCACGGAATTGATCATGTTGATCGAGAAGGAGGATTACTACTGAAGAAAAAAAAATGAAGAAAACAAAACAGAACAAACAAGAAGAGAAAAATGAACAACTCTTTTTTACCTCTCTTGCCCCCTTTTGTCACGATGATGAAGTAACCTACACGTTTCGGCCCCGCGCGCGACGATTCGAGGATTGATATTTTTCTTTTCTCTTGTGCTACTATATGACAAGGTGCTATATCATCACATCTATTTTCTTTCCCCCTTCCTTCTTCATTCTATCAGTGTCATTTCTCTAATCTCCTTACCTTTCTGTGGGTCTGTTCCGACGCTTCTTCTCGCTATTATGGTTTTTGTACAAATACCCTGGCTTCGTGTTTTCCATCAGTTTCTCATTTTCAGTATCTCTTCATACCAAAACCTAAGTGTGTTCTCCTTGAGGTGTATCTGATTGCTTTTTACTCGCCTTTCTCTTTCTTCTGCTTCACCTCACCTATCTAGTCAACCGAGGGTGAGAAAGATGGAAGCACGGCGCATCGTCTTTCCTCGACAAGTTCGACAAAGCAGTGGGAAAAGTGGGAGTAATAGGGGGTTCGTGGCACTGTACTTCGGAATGACTATCTGGCGTCTCGGGGCGGTGGCGGTTCTGATCTATCAGGTCGGCTTTTTATGAGGGTAGTAGAATTCTTTTCCCATACTTTTACCATTTTACCATTTCAATACGGAGAAACATGGACTTGTGGAATGCGGGCTTGCTTTGTGCTTTGTCTTTTTTTTTTCTTACTCGTTACCCCCTGCTTCTTGTGATGAAGTATATCACACTGTACACGGGTCATTTCTTTTCTGCAGAATCTCCCCTTTCCTGCTTTGCTTTGTAGGCCATGGATGGTGGTTCTCTTGTCGCATTTTCTTTTTCTTGGCAAATTAGCTAGTGATCGATGTATACTACAGGTGGCCACGGATGGGTAGGCGCGCTTCGCTGAGGAGTGGAACTATTAGACGATAATCTGTCTCGATCGCATGATGTACTGTAAAAAGATACAGACGTATGTCCTTGAAGATGATTTGTGAAAAAAAGTGGAAGTGTGCATGTAGGGAGGGGAATTGGTATTTGTTGTCTATCATACACTTGCTTGTTCTGAGAAGATGTATAAATAACTATGTTACAATCATCACCGTAAACCTGGCAAGAAGTATATGTCTGTGAGGAAGTTCTCGTAGTTCATCCAAGCGGTCGTCTCATTAGCGGAGTTTGCGTACCCCATGTCGACGGCATCCCAGACACTGGGCCAGGAGGCGGCGTTCTCCAGGCTTTCGGGGGTGTCTAATGCAGCCATGGCATCGACTGGAGCGGATGGGCCCTGGTCTGGTGGTTGCTGTGCGCTTTGGGTGGGTACGTTTGAAGTGAAGACTGGTGGCGGTTGCGGCGGCTGTTGTTGTTCTTGCTGCTGCTGCCGCTGCAGTACCTCCGAGTCGTACGGAGTAGCAGCAGAGGAGATCAGCGGTTGGGATGGTTGGTGAGAAGATGATGATGATGATGACGATGAGGAAGAGGGACATGTATGGAGGGTGGAGGTGGGGGCGGAAGCAGCGAGCAACTGAACTCTCCTCGCACGCGCCTGAGCCATGATTCTTTCCATGGGCTTCCAGAGCATCCCACGCTTCGAATCAGCCACGAGCCGGCCCAATCGGTTGAAGGTCTGCTCGACTGTAGGCCAGAATCTCTCCATGACCGCCCTGTCTTCGCAAACGCAGAGCTCCGCGACGGCTACTGCCAGGCCGTGCCACGGCGGGAAGGCGAATTCGACCCAGAGCCACGGTACGGTGCGAGGGTCGTCCCGAAGAGAATGGTAATTTTGAAGAATGTTGACGGCGAACTCGATGAGACGGTCGCCCTGGACGTGCGGAGGCGTGAAGCGCGGCGTGCGCTTGAGGGGCCGGATGACGATCAGTTGCAAGCAAGCATAGATCCCCTCCGCGACTAAGCGGGTGAACCAACTGAAGGGATTCTTGTCTAGTTGCGCATGATGGAGCAGTTTGGAAGCGGTGTGTTGGAAGTCGACGACGAGCTGTTGGCGGAGGGCGAGGGTGCTCACTGATGGCTCGGTGAAATCAGAGAAATTTAGAAGTCTGGTGATTACATGGGCCTTGCCGACAATCATAGTGAACGTCATGTCGGTAAAGCCGGGAGAATCAACGGGGCTTTTTTGCATATCGAAGGAGATGTCCTCGTCGTTGACGTGAGTGGGCGGGTGGGATTGCAGCCAATGCGCCTGCATCATGGGCTCGGTATCGCGGTCCATCGAGGCTAGAATGTCAAGGAAGCCGATCGCTTGCCAGAGACGCTGACGAAGTTCGCGTTCAAAAGGTCGGACTGTGAACGGTGGGACAGGCAGATGAAGCGACTGGGCTTGTGCAATGCGCAGGGCCATGGCAAGCAATGTCCACATTCGACGGCTTTGATCTTGCGATCGGAGTGACACCTTTCGACAATAGGTCAGATTACACTCTAGACAGCATCTGACAAACCGCGCGTTCAAGGAGCCGAGACGTACCAGGAAAAGAACAAATGCTTGCAAAACCGTCAGATCATTCGTAGTAAGATAGTCTGCCCGCCCGAGAGCCAGTTCCACATCCTTTTGGTATCCCGCTACCAAGGATACTCTGGGTACGCCGAATGCGCGTATGCATTCGTCTTCTGAAAGGCTGCACGAGGCTGCATAGTACACAGCGGATGCAAGGGCGGTTGGAGCCAAATGTTCCGGTTCATAATCTAGATAAGGTTTTCCTTCTAGGAGGAACGCACAGAGGGAAGGTCTATGCAGTATCTTGACAACAGGGTCCACTCTTTCGAGAAAGACCCGACAGAGCTGTTGCTGGACGTACTTTGAAGGGCTCAGCTGTTCTCCAGAAGTTGAACCATGCTGCCGACTTGCCGTTGCCAGCAGACGTCGATACATCTTCAGCTGGTTACCTGCGGCCTTACGGCTCCCTTCTCTCGTACTGTGCTCATCATTGGGATGCAGTTGGGGCACCTGTATCGGGAAGTGCGTCAATTGGACTGATAGCCAGCTAGGCACGTCTGGGAACCGAGAGACTTACCTCATTCAAGAGATTAGCCCAGAATGCAGATCCCAGATAGCTATCTGGCGTGTGCTCCCCACCGTCCGAGTCTCCCGAGGCGCCATCATCGTCATCATCATCATCATCATCATCGCTGCGCGGGTCGACGCTGGCCCCAAACCGATTATTAGAGGGCAGATTATCTCTAGCAGTGGGCGCATCAGGGACAGGAGTAGTAGCTCGGGGGGAGAAGCTATAGCCACTCCGAACTAGGTCTCGGATGATGTCCTCCAGCTTAGCGACGCGGTTCTTCAGGCTCGCATCCGGGTCGTAGTTGGACCGCCCGGAAGCTAGCTTTCCCGATCTTCCACGGGGCAGCCGCGCGCGCTCGACGGGGACGCACCTTGTCCCTAACCGTCGACAGTTGGTACAAGGGTCGAGCTTGTCGCATTTGACTTTTCGTTGACGACAGGTTTCACAACTTAACCGGACTTTAGGCTTCTGGGGATGTGGCTGGGATGGCGCTCGTCTGGAGGCGGGCTCGGCTTGCCGAGCTTCTTCATGATTCATTGTTTGTATGTAGAGAGTTCTTTCTTCCTCCTCTATCCTATAAGTGGCTGGTGCTCATGAGCCAGGCTTTGGCTCAGCCAGGGGGTTGAGTGGCGAAACTGAATTTATGAGTCTCTTAATTGAGGGCGTGCCATATACTGCCCCCTCCATTGTGGACTTGGCCAAAAGAATTGGAAGAAGTCATGAAGATTGACAAACGGGTCTGACTCCGGGGAAGGCGAGGAAAGCTGTCGGTGCCTCAGGACAGAAACTCCGCCCGATTAGCTCTAGTCTACTGCAAGCATGTGACACTACAAGTATAAACGTTCTACAAGGCCTGGCACAGGGACACATTTCAGCTTCATATGAAAGTCACTATTCGGAATGTATCTCTCTGTCACGGAACATTGAATAATTATAACAAAAAGCATTTCGTAGCATCACATGTCCCGCCCACTGATCATCGCTCTGTAGTAGAAAAGAGAAAATGCTAGGGATTCGCTTGCATCTTGTGCCAGCATTAAACGCATCGTTCCCTGCCTATATCATGATCCTTTCTTCGCTCTGCCCATGATAAAACAATATGTCAATGATAAACCACAGAAATAAAAAAAAACTATGCCTACAAATGCCGTCAACGCCACGCTGCATAAAGATGTAATAGGTGGGTTGACACAAAAGGAAAAGAGAATGGTATAAAGCGGAGCAAACGAGTTACTGAGAAACGGACTTCTTCCTGGGAGACTTGACGTTCAGCACTTGTCGCATGCGCCGAAGTTTGGCCCACCATTCGCGATCGCGAGCCTTTTTGGCCTCTGGGTTGCCGTCGTCAACTGCCAGTTCGTCCGTCGAAGGAGCCTCGGATGGAGCACGACTTGAAATAGAAACGGTCGATCGAACTTGGCGGCGATGCCGTACCTCGAGCGCCTGGCTCAAGAGCTGCCACCCGCAACGAAGGTTCTCCGACTTTTCGGATGCCCGTCCAGTGCCGCTCTGTGCGGTTCCGTTGACCCACGGGCAGTATTCCATGTGTTCAATGGCCACATCGAGTGAGTCGTAGAGAGCAGCAGTCCCGTTGGCCTTCGGTTTGTACATCCAAAGACCCAACCGCCGGAAACACACACTGCAGCCCGCTAGGCCAGCTGTCCCGTCTGGGACACTATTCCAACCGAATAAGGCAAGCGCAAAAGCGGTTTTGTTGATAGACAATTCGCTGGAGGAGGTTGTCTGGTCCGAGTCCTGGCCAATCTCAGTCTCTTGATGGGTCTGTGTTCCGATGTCTTCTTGGGGCTTTTCGCTGCTTCCGAAATCCGCTGGAAGAGTGCCGATGATCGCGTCTATATCAAGCGATTCCGGGGTCTGGATAGTGGTGTACTCCGGTAATTGATCTGCCATCTTCACCAGGTTGGAATAGCGCGTGCGTAGTCCGGAGATTGCCGTATCTGGGTTGGACAATGGCAACCGATGGATCGTGGCTAGAGCCATTCGGTCAGTTTGAGTACAGATCAGGCACAAGTAAAGAGAAAGTAATGCTCCCATCATACCATCGCACCCCTTGTTCCTCCAGGGACAATTCTCACCATGCCCTGTGACGATCTGTCCCACATACTCCTCCACCAGCCTTGTACCTGTAAATAGCGCCCAATTAGCGCCTTGTAAGGAAAAGAAGAGATGCGGATAAAGATAGGATGCCAACTCACGGACTTGCTTCCTCTCCTGTACCTTCTCCGCATCGAAGCCGTCCAGCTCGTCCAGCTCGTCCGGCAATTTGACAACGACCGAGCCACCGCACCCGCCCACGCAGATCACGCGCGCTACATCGTTACAGATCCAGCCGCGCTTGGCCCATTCCACCTCATTGATTGCCTCCGGTTTGGGTGCCCACCGATCCACGCGACGGAAGGTTTCCAATCGCTCCAGAAAGCGCTCACGGTCCCATGGGACAAAGCTGGGGCGCGACGGCGTTGTGGAGTTATTCGAGGCTCGCGAACTCGGGCGGGGTGTGCTCAGAAGAGAGCTACGAGCGAATGGAAGCTCACTGAAGTCCAAGCGAGCCTTTTTGCTGGAATGTTCGGGGGAGGTACGTTCTCGTGCGGGCGTGGGGGTTCCGGGGATGGCTGACTTGGAGGGTGCGGGTGTCGAGGAGGGCTTCGTCAGGGATTCGAGAACACGGTGGAACTTGCGCTTTTTGGTTTCCACCGCGTAAGACATTTTTCCCAATCTCGGGGGAGGCGTTAGGGTCAGCGTGTGGGATAAGTATATAGGTTTGGGGGAGTCGAGGAAGCCTCATGAGAGCTTGGAGAGCATCGGAGCTGGTGGCGCTAGTCCCTAGTTGGTAGTGGCCGATATCCGCTGGAGTGTTGCCTCAGGCACTATAAAGTAAACTCCGTTCTTACAGTAGTAGAGCAGGGCATGGTAGGAATTCGGTGAAAGTTCAATGGTCTCGGGCTTTTTGTACGTACGTGCACTTCCACCTACATGGCAGATTGTTTGGCTCAAGTGACATTTCCGAATTGTCTCGTCATTAATGTCGTGTTAGACAGGTTGGATTAAGGCACTTTACTCATTCTCAAGATACCGCTCAATCCCTTCAAAGAAAAGAAAAAAAGACGTGCTTTGATGAAGTGAGCCTTGTATCAATTAAAAGTCTAGCTTTAAGTTGCGTCTTCTGCCTCTTCGTTCTCCAGTCAAGCCTAGACTCTTCACCATCGGATGCGAGAGCTTGTTTGTTGTTTAGCAACAATGACAAGGCAGCACGCTGAACTTCGACCCAAGTGATTTATCTTCCTGAGAGCCGATAACAGAACAAGCCCAGCGAGAGTAGGGCCAGGAGCCAGAGAAGCTTGCGAAGGTGGGCCATTCTTCGGGCTTGCTTTCCCCACGCCTGCCAACCCAGTGCTGCACATTCAGGACATGACAAAAAAGTGATCGTCTCCGCGTCTGCCATGACCTCTGACGCCAAATCGGCTGGCAAGTTCCTCGAGTAAGGTATCAGGTATCGGCCACTGAGGGTCCTATAGAGACCATCTCGAGCCTGGGTGCGACAGACTCCCGCCGATGTCTGGCACATCATCTTCATCCGGCCATAGCGAATCTCTTTGTATCTCAGAAGCAGACCCTGGATTTCCGCATCGGACGGGGTTTGCACACCACGCACATTGATCAGGTAATGCAGCAGCGAAGACAAGGTCGCCGCATCTTCGATCGCACAGTTCGCCCCTTGGCCAAAGTTGGGTGTCATCTGCAGATCATTATTTTTTCTTCAGCTTGAGCCCAAATAGAACGAAGTGAGGGTAGAGTGGTTTTAAACATACCTTGTGAACACTGTCGCCCATGAGAACCATACGGTCAAAGAACCAGGTTTTGAACAAGCCTTCCTCTAGTGCAGTCATGGAGTACACTTCTTTATTCTTCCATAGATCCCCCACGCAGACGTCCTTGAAGAACCGCACATGCTTCAACTTCTCGATGAGCTTGGCAGCGTCCTTGTCCGAGAATCGTGGAACGTCTGGATAGGTATACTTCTGTTGAAGCTTGGTGATAATGAACCAGAACACCCGACCTTTCTTGCCGTGTATAGTGAGGATGGACAGATGATCGAAAAGTCCGTTGATTTGTTCATGAACCTCGAGATTCGGGATACGCGACGAGATTCCGAAGATGCAGGAGTACTGGACCGTCATAGCTGCAATGCGTGATGGTCAGCGCTGTTGCCCACACAAGTCACCCGGATTTAAATGTTGATTAAGAACTGGGACACAGACAGGTTCGTTCACGATTCGAAATCAGCCCAGGCTGGAGCTCATCCGCGAGTCTCCAGATCTCTGATCGGATTCGACTGTGGACTCCATCGGCACCCACGACAAGATCGCCCTCATATATCGAGCCATCAGCCGCTGTCATGCGGAGGCCATGATCAACCTTTTGTACTTGAACGACTTTCTTGTTGGTGAGGATGTTTTGTTTGGCATGGTACTTTTCGTACAGGATCCGGAGGAACTTTTGACGATCTAGAAAGGCAATGGGGTATCCGAATCTGCAAGACTTAGCGGGTGTAATGTTGACGCAGTTGGGAATAGATATCGTCCCAAAGTCAGAGGGAAATACCTTTCTTCAAGGATCTTGGGATAGACATTGGCGAAGTTGAACCCATCGGGATAGGTGATATGAGCTTTGTGCGTAGGCTCAATAAACTGCTCGATGGCATCAAATAGATTCAACTGAGCAAGAATGCGGCCTCCGTTCGGCATAATACCCACAGAGGCACCCAGCTGTGGAGCAATGTCACTGCCCTTTTCAAGGACGATATGCTCGATGTTGGCATGTTGTAGACAATGAGCGAGCGTTAGACCCGCGACAGAGCCACCAACGATGATGACTTTGAAGGGAGGCTGTGTCGCAGGCATGTTTGGTTGGAAAAAAGATATAACGGAATGCTGGAGGTAATAGACTGACTGAAGGAAGATTGGGAAGAGATGGTTTTCAGAATTGTTGTGGGTGTTACTAGGACCAAGGGGAAACACAGCCAGGAGATCTTGCCATGGGAACCCTTCCTTGTTGATTGCCAGTTACAAAATGACTCGCATTCACAAGATTTGATTCCCCGGAGAGGTTTTGCCCGGTACGCTGTTTGTGTTGACTGGGGTGTATCTCTGTGATACTTGATTTGGTCCTCCTGTACACCACCTCAAATGGACGAATTCCCTAACCTACCACCACAACAGATCTCATCGTTCAGAGAGAGAGAATATCGCTGACATTGGATGCGCAATCAATTTTGAACTACCATTGTTTTGATGACTTCATCATCTACTTCCGCAGTGGTCATTGTTTTTTTCTTGGAAATAACCATCCTGTCTAAGTCAGCCCAGACCCAAGCCTCCCTGCAGTGCAGTACAGCACTGATCCTTGTATGACCCTCTCCACGACCAAGAAACAACTCAAGGACATAGACTTTCTCCGCGGTAATACAAGGAAGGGAAACTAAAATTACACCCCTCGTATGCAACATTTGACAGCAATCTGAGATCCACTACAGGCTTGCCTGTCATCGAAGACCACAAGATTCTCTCTATCTCGAGCGACATATGGCCTCGTGTTCAGTATTCGAGATCCAAACTCAGATAACGTCATAGAATAAAGCGCTCAAATTACCTACGCTTTTGGCTGTCGTCCAATTGGAATGCCTCCTCCTGCTTTTTGATAAGAAAAAAGCAAAAGCCATAGAGCAGCTCGGAGAGAAAGAAGACGGCGACAGCCCAGAGGATAAGCGGGCAATTCAGCCAGGCAAAGGCGCCTGGCCAATAAGCCCAGCGAATATAGGCAAAGCCGATTGTGGAGATGGATCCCAGAAATCGCGAAAGCCTGGCTTAGCTGTTAGCACAGGGGCTCTCTTGTCCGATTCCAAATGAATGATCGAGTCAGAAACTATCTACCGGACGCACCATTTTGTGTACGAAGCGCCACGCGTGCTCGCCCGAGTCAGCAACAGAAACACATCGCCAACACTGATGAACATCTGACAGACGACGGCTCCCCACGAGTAAGCCAGACCAGGGCCCAGCTGAGCGGCCAGGGCTAAGTGTCCGCTCAGCCAAAAGAGGGTCATGCCTGCAAAGGCCAGGGCCAAATTGTTCATGACCAGTGGGGATTGGCGCCATTCATTGGAGCCGTTCCTGATGGCGGCATAGATGACTGTGATGTCGAGAAGCAACCCCAGAAAGAAGGCCACGCGCTCGATCACCCCCTTGGCTGGATAGACTAGGCAATATACGATCTCCCAGGCAAAGTTGATCGTAATCCCCGCGATGGTCATGCTGTAAGTCTGGTCTCGGAAGGACGTATAGGCCACGTTCAGATAGTACGCCAGCCAACCAAGACCCATCCCCGCGATGAATAGGCTGTCAAGCCATTTGAGAGCTTCGTACTGTGCAGGCACTTCTGAATGTTCGAATCCGTCCATTTGAAGGGCTCTACCATGGAAAAGAAGAAAAGAAGGGCAGAAAAAGCAATGGCTCTAGTGCTGGTCCAATCCGAAATGCCGTCACTGACACCACTACTTTGGCACTGTTTATATACATCTGCCTTGAAACAGCAAGTACCAGAGCGTGTGAAGAGGCACAAAGAAGTAGAGGACCCGCTATGCACTACCCTTCTACGACCTCGGTCTTCCCACGCAAGTACTCCAAGTTGTCCCGCCCGGAGTAGGACTGGATTTCGAATCTGCCAACCGTGTGACCCAGGATCGTATATTTTTTTCTGCAGGACTCTGCAAGACAGCCAGGGAAGCTTCAGGTCTGGCAAATTGTTTGTCGTGTTGTGCATTAAGCGCATGTACCTATGCCTGATTGACTGACTGACTGACTGACTGACTGACTGACTGACTGACATCCAGCTGACGGGTTGGTTCCAGGTCAGGGAAGTGGCATCAGCGGCAAGCCTGAGGAAACGAGATAGTGTAACTTGTCCCAAGCCCTCAACCACCTTTCTTCAGATACCGCAGAAAAGGGAAAGGGGCCCGAGGGTCATAAGCAATCCATCTGCAGCTGGTGGGGCTTTTTTAACAAGCCATGCCATACATATATAGACCAGGAGAGGAGCCCTTCCTCAGTCAAATTCCTAAATCAGCCTGCACTGTAACCTGAAGTATTCTTGCTTGATTGCGTCTTAACTGAAGAAGCCCTAACAGCCGCGGAAAGGGGCCCCAAAAAGAAGGAAAAACGAACGCAGAACAGCGAATCATGACCGCAATTTCAGATGTTGCTTCCATGTCTCTTCCATGGATGGCAACTATTGGAATTTTCTCTCTTGTTGTCTATGTGCTTCTGGATAGAATGCCTCCTCTGTGGCCAACCTCCAAGAAAGCATATCTGATCGGCCAGAAGAGACCCGATACGGTGACCTCCTTCGAATGTCCTTATGCTTACATCCGCCAGATCTATGGCAAGTATCACTGGGCACCGTTTGTACACAAGCTCTCTCCAACACTCAAAACCGACGACCCCGCCAAGTACAAGATGGTCAACGAGATCATGGATGCAATTCACTTGTGTTTGATGCTGGTGGATGATGTGTGTAGTTTCCTAGTCTCCTTTGTTGTCCCGACATGATTTTTCTGTCTGCAGCTCGAACATGCTCACTGATAGCACACACGCGCACGCGGTAGATCACCGACAACAGCGACTATCGCAAAGGCAAGCCGACAGCGCACAAGATTTATGGTCCTTCAGAGACCGCCAACCGGGCCTACTACCGGGTGACGCAGATCTTGAACGAGACGGTGCAGCGGTTCCCGAAGCTGGCCCCCTTCTTGATGCAGAATCTGGAGGATATTCTGGCCGGTCAGGACCTGTCGTTGGTGTGGAGGCGAGATGGCTTGAGTGTATTTCCAACCTCGCACACCGAGCGTGTAGCGGCATATCGGAAGATGGCTTCCCTGAAGACAGGGGCCCTGTTTCGGATGCTGGCTCAGCTGGTGAAGGAGGACACGTCGATGGATGAGACGATGACCACTTTGGCGTATATCTCACCCCTTGTCTTTTTTTCTCTTCTCCTTTCTGATCCTCTGAAACGAAGATTCGGCCCCCCGAACGCTAACTATATATAACCTGCTACACAGATGGTGCTCTCAACTTCAGAACGACTGCAAGAACGTCTACTCCTCCGAGTACGCCAAGGCGAAAGGTGCGCTGGCAGAGGATCTGCGCAACCACGAGTACTCGTATCCCATCATCCTGGCTCTTGAAGCCCCCGATGGGCACTGGGTGGCCAGAGCGTTGGAGACAAGCTCCCCCCGAAATATCAGGAAAGCTCTGGCGGTGATTCAGAGCGAGGGGGTGCGGAATGCATGTTTTACAGAACTCAAGCTGGCCAGTGCTTCTGTGCAAGACTGGCTATCCATCTGGGGACGCAACGAGAAGATGAACTTGAAAAGTCAGTAGGGGGTTGTATAGAGTGGGTGATACCTGGTATAGGGTGGTCGGTTCCAGATAGGGGGATGAGAGGTGGTATGAGTGGCTCTCGCGATACATACAGCGGCGTTGCGGTTTGAACTCAGCATTACATGTCTGTCTCTCCCTGTCTCTAATTTTGTTTTTTCTCTCACTCCCTTTATCTCTCTACTACACTGTGTCATGGTTGTCATCCGGTAGGTCGGCTCTCTGAGTTTAGCCATAAATTTCCGAGGGTTCACAGCTCTCGCAAAATCGGGGGGTGACAACAATGCTCTTCGGCTCAAATCACGCCACCATAATTCTCCGATCAATTCTATACATTAGCTTTGACTAGGAATAGCTTTAAGTAGGGGTTTAGTTTAGCTAGGAGGAATAAGCTACCTTGTCCTCTTTACGATGTTGGATCCCGTAAGCGGATAGATGCAGTCAAGCAAATAATCCCAGAATGCTCTTTGGACTCGAACCTGTATTGTCATGAATCTTCATCATTAGTTGATTGTCTGTCAGTTACTACTAGCAGTCATATTCAAAATCGAAGGTCACGCTTCTGTCTCAGTATCTTTTCTTTCTTTTTCCTGTTCTTGCTTTTTTTCTTCGACATTCTCTTACTTGTCCAACAACGTGTTTTATTTTTCGATTGTGTTAGCGGCCACCATAGGCTCGATGCTCGGAGCAATTACACGGCCATGCATCCTTGTCGGCCTCTCACAGAGACCTCCTTTTCTCACTCCACTTATTTGGGACCCATTATCTCAGCTTCCCTTTGTTCAACGTCGAAAGCCGGGTGCTGTGCGACTATTCTCGCAGTTTGATGACTCTAAAAGCATGAGTAGTCCTGCATTCAAGACACGCGATATTCCCAGGGTCACCGCGGCGGCCTACCAGTCAGCCTGAGGTATCCGTATGCCTTAAATATCTCTTTGCTCGTATTCCTCGACGATAGTATGGTAGTTCTCCTAGGCTTCAGGTTGCCCTCCTGGGCTTCACGAGAGTTGATGATTCACTATCACTGCTACACGAGGAGAAAAATGAGCTCTGACATGTTACTCGGAAGAACAGTCAACGAGTAGAAATCGCTCTAGGTTCGGTGAAGGAGAGAATCAACATCTGACATGCAATGCTGGGAGATTTCCCATGAATGGACGATGATCTCACTTCAGTATGACATTTGCCCCCATCTCGTAGTCATTGTCACATTCCCTCAGAGCCAGGATACCCTTAGCCATCCAGAAACGCAGTTGAGGTCAGCACTTCTCGGATACCTGGAAGGGGAGGGGGAAAAAAAGAAAAAAAAAAAACAATACTCCCTCTCTCAGAAATGAATGGATATCATTGCCAGAAGCTGAATGAAGAAAACAGCAACGAACATACCCAATATATTGTAGTTTGCGTGGGAAGCATGACCCTTCTTCTCCCCATCCCCCCCACCCTTCCCCTTTGCGCTGATCTAAAAGTCTGCTTCCCGTCGTTCTCCTGCATGTATGGCCATGGAGCCGATTCAAGTATCAACCTGCATTTTGGCAACCGTCCTGGGCGTTACCGGTCACCTGGGCCTGTTTATCCACTCCGAGTGGGATGTATATGCATTTCCCGTCCTGGCTACTCTCGGTCTGGGGCCGGCCGTAGTGCTCGTCCTCCTCGCCGGCGCGGGCTACTACAATGCCTTCTGGCTCACGCTAAACGCCGTCGTGAGCTATAACGCATCCTTGGGTTTGTCCATCGCCGTCTACCGCTACTTCTTCCATGCACTGCGGCGCTTTCCCGGGCCCAGACTCGCCAGGATCTCGGCACTCTGGTCGCTCAAGGCGGCGGTCGTCAATGCCAAATGGCACCTCCGGGTGCAGGAGCTCCATCGTCAACATGGGACCTTTGTCCGGATTAGTATGTAAATTTCATCAATACTGCTAGACTTACATCTTGGATGGAGATTACAAAAGTGAGGATTCGATTGACCGGATCGCTAGAGCCTCGTGAGATCTCCATAGATGATCCAGCAGCCATCAAGGCTATACATGGGCCGGGGACATCGTGCGTCAAGGGCCCGTTCTACGACCTGAATTATCCCAACCATTCCCTGCAGATGACCAGAGACAAGGCGTTCCATACAAAGCGGAGGCGGCTTTGGGATCGTGGGTTTAGTCCTCGAGGTGCTTTCCCTGCCTATGCCCCCTCCCAGCTGATACCGTCCCATCAAGAGTGGTCTGACACCGCTCGATAGCATTGGCCGGTTACGAGCCTTTCATCCTAGATCATTGCAGAGTTCTGGCCGAGATCATCGAATCCCGGGCACCGCACAAACAGGAAGTCAATGAGCTGGTTGCCGCGTTCACCTGGGACTCCATGGGCGTCCTTGCATTCGGCAAATCGTTCATTATGCTCCAAGGCGCTCCACCGTCGAAGATACAACAGATGAAGGATCTTGGTCGCATTGCGAGCGTGTTGCAGTGCGCGAGCTGGATTGCTCAACTGGTGCGGAATGCCCCGGTCCTGCGAGCCAAGAACCAGCATTGGCTGGACTGGTGTAGCGAACAGTTGGAGAAAAGGAAACAGGTACGTAGGGGGGAGGTCCCAGGTTTCCATGTCGGGAAACCCCGAATGAATGGGCCATGCTGATCGGACACAGATGGAGCTGAACCATCAGGACCTCTTCAGCTACCTGATCGAGGGAGCTCTGGCCAACAATGAAGGTCAAATGAAGAGCGAAATAGATCAAGACTTGGTCTATGACTCGGAGCTTACAATCACTGCTGGCAGTGATACCACTGCTGCGACGGTCAGTGCGCTTCTGTATCTGTTGGCCCAGCATCCAGACAAGCTCCAGAAGCTGCAACAGGAGGTGGACTCTTCTATCCCTGCGGGCGAGGAGGTCACCCATGCTGCGCTAGCAGGCAAGCCATGGCTGGAAAGCTGCATCAACGAGGGTCTGCGCATGTATCCTAGCGTGGCGAGCGGTGTCCCCCGCGAGACTGGCCCCGAGGGGCTTACGTTCGCCGGAGTCTACATCCCTCCAAGGACAATAGTCTCTACACCTACTTACACGATCCACCGAGGTTCGAGCTTCCCCAGTGACTTCAAATAGCCTGTATGCACAGCTGACATGTCCACAGATCCACGAAACTTTGTCGACCCGGATAGCTTCGTCCCCGAGCGGTGGTCGAGCAAGCCGGAGATGGTCCTCTGCAAGGAAGCATTCAAGTCCTTCTCGTCCGGAAAATATGCCTGCGCGGGGAAGCAATTTGCGATGATGGAGATGCGACTTGTTGTGGCCACCATTGTGAAGAATTTCGACCTTGAGTTTCCCCCCGGGGAGGGACAAGAACCGCTGGAGAAAGTAGGCCACGGGGTGTTGGATTGTTTCACGGCGCATATTCCAGACTATCATCTGATCTTCCGTCCCAGGTAGACAAATTCAGGGTTCTGGGAGTAGTTACCTAGTAGTAGCAGGTTAGCAGCTGTTTGTCAGTAAAAGCATTCCAGTTGATCGAATTGAATTACAGACCAGTACTGTACATCGCAACTCCTTCAGCAGCACCGGGTGCTTGCTACGATTGTCCGGATGCGGCCAAAGAGAAACACGGTTGGGGCTAGTCTCCAACCAGGGAAACCACAAGCAGCACGAATTCAGGGAGAATAAAAAGACGGAGAGGCCCCTTGTGCTCATCGGGTTTGAATGCCCCTTTCCACGTCCACGTCATCTTTCATCAGGGAGTTTCTTGTGTACTGTCACCATGACCACCGATGAAGCAACAACAACACACGAGGGAGGTGGGCGAGGCAGCATCAGCATGTATGATCCGGCACGGGATCGCTGGGAAGAGAAGGCGGAAGTTGTTCCGCCGGCCGCCTCCTCGTCTTCTCCATCTCCCCCAATCCGTCCTCGTTCAACCATCACTTCTTCTCAACAACAAGAACAACAACAACAACAACAACAAAGAGTACGTGCTTTGAACCCCCAGTACCCCATGCACCTCCCCCCTCACCCCTCACCAACACTACTGCAGGAACCTCTTTCCCGGTGGAGTCTGCGGTTAGCGAGCGGTGGCGTCGGAGGCGGTGATTCCCCGACATGGGGCCGGCTTTGTTTGCTTGCTTGCAGCACTTGCGGTGAAATCTCTGCTCTTCATCGCTCTATCAAGACTGAAAATAGTCTAACATAACTTAATTTTTTACCATTAACTCACTGCTACTCAATAGATCACAACAGATGAGTCACAATTGAAGTCTCCGATCTCACTGATTCCGGCCCCCCTCTCTCCAACTCTTCCTTCAAGACTCCCCGACAAACCCGCTCCTCGCAACCTCACATCAACTTCAACCCGACAAAAACCCCCAACCAAACCACCAGGTCCCTCCACCAGAATGGGCGACTATTCGTACTCGGAGCCCGTCCGCTCTCCCTCGCCCAGCGGCCACCACGGACGGGAAAGCCATGACCCTTACAAGCGCAAATTCCCCGAAGACGAAGCCGCCTCGACGACAACGACGGCAGATCAACAATACCGACCCATCTCCAAACGCAAGCGCGTGGAGGAGCGCCACCAGAAACTCCGCAAGCGCGGTCGCACCCCTCCGTCGGCCTACTCGCGTCGCGACCGGGACGACGAGGGCCCCAACCGCAACGCGCAGAACCGATCCCCTTCACCGCCCATGCCGCCGCGGTCGCCGACCCCGGAAGCCCAGTCACGCCCGCGCAAGCGGCCCGGCGGCGGCGCGCGGATGGGCCTGGTGGACCGGGAAACCCTCCGGCGGCGACAGGAGGAGCGCGAGCGCACGGAGCAGGAGGAGGCGATCCGCAACTCGCAGATCCGGGGCGTGACGGACCTCGTGCGGCAGCATTACAACGCCGTGCCGCAGCGGGGCCGCGAGTGGCGCAAGACGGAGAGCAAGATCAAGGGCCTGCGCAGCTTCAACAACTGGGTCAAGAGCACGCTCATCCAGAAGTTCTCGCCGGATGAGGAGTTTGTGTCCCGCGCCATCGGGACCAAGGACTGGGCCGACGGCACGGGCCCGCCGCCCGTCGAGCAGAAAAAGCTCCTGGTGATCGACCTGGGCTGCGGCAAGGGCGGCGATCTGGGCAAGTGGCAGCTGGCGCCGCAGCCGGTGGATCTGTACGTGGGCCTGGATCCGGCCGAGGTCTCCATCGTGCAGGCGCGCGAGCGATACAGTCAGATGCGGTCGGGACGCGGAGGTCCGCGCGGTGGTCGCGGGGGCGGTGGTGGTGGCGGCCGGGGCCCGAGTTTCCATGCGGAGTTCGCGCCGAAGGACTGCTTTGGCGAGTGGCTGGGGGATATCGACATTGTACAGCGGGTGGGAATTGATCCGAATGCGGGACCCGGGGGTTCGGTGATGAGCTCGCGCTGGGGCGGAGGGGGCTTCGACGTGGTCGCTTCGATGTTCGCGATCCACTATGCGTTTGAGAGCGAGGAGAAGGCCCGGCAGATGCTGCGCAATGTGGCCGGCTGTCTGAAGAAGGGCGGCCGATTCCTGGGTGTCTGCCCGAACTCCGATGTGATCAGCGCCAAGGTGGCCGAGTGCCATGCGAAGCGCAAGGCGCGCGAGGAGGCGGCAGCGTCGAAGAACGAAGAAGTCGAGCCCGAGGACGGAGAAGTGGAGGAGGACACCACCAAGGTCGAATGGGGCAACTCCATCTACCGCGTGCGGTTCCCCGGCGATACGCCCGAAGATGGCATCTTCCGGCCGCCGTTCGGCTGGAGGTACAACTACTTCATGCAGGAGGCTGTGGAGGAGGTGCCGGAATACGTGGTGCCGTGGGAAGCATTCCGAGCGTACGTGTTCTACATCTTCTTTGTCCTATTCATACCAGATGACCGTGACTAATGGTGCGAGATAGATTGACGGAGGAGTACAACCTGGAGCTGCAGTATCGCAAGCCGTTCCTGGAAGTGTGGCGCGACGAGAAGGACGATGCCGAGCTGGGGCCTCTGAGTGAGCGCATGGGCGTGCGTGATCGCAATACCGGGCAACTCAGCATGACGGCGGAGGAGCAGGAGGCAGTCAGTAAGTACTATTCTTCGGAGGGTTGGTTGTATAAGCCAAGCTAACAAGACGCTATAGGTTTCTACCACGCCTTCTGTTTCTACAAGGTCTAATTGGATGATGGGTTCAGCTCTAGCTTGGTACTTCGCTATCACTATCTACATTGCAGGCAATAAGAATAGCTACAGTGCACTCAATCCAATGCATGTAGTCTTCAAACCACCATACTTCAAGCAACGTAACCAGGAGTAGCTCAGAAAATTTGAAAATATAATGTGTAAATCATCCTAACTACTACCAATTTACAGCGCATGCTGGGAGATGCCACGGCCAAAACTCGGCCCAGGGAACCTGTTCTTTGTCTGACCGCCCCAAATCGGCAGAAAAGTGGTCAAAACAGCCGGCCAAAACTCGGCGATGAAACTGTTCAACCCCCCACCGCTTTGGGAGCTACATGACCGGCAGAATGCCCGCGACCTCGCGAGCGCAATTCAGGCATCCGCCCATGAACAGCTCCAGATAATCAGGCATCGAAACTGTTCATTTTAGGGCGGTGGCAGAAACACCACTTGCACCTCAGGTACGGTACAGGACTCCGTACCGCGCACCCCACCGATCACAACCCCCTCCCCCGATAAACCGCCCCGATAAAATCGATAAGCGCCGATAAGGGGACAGAAGTGCAAATCAGCTATAACCCGAACCATACTAGCGTGACCGCGTCGCGTTTCTGGCTTTCTTTGCGCTCTCTGGCTTTCTTTCATCTCGCGAGCGGACGGCGCAGCGCCGCAGTGTATGTATGTAATAGGTAACAGTGAAGGTAAAACAGGTAGGTGGTTGCACTAACGGAACAGGTCTCTTTTTGATTTGGATTCATAGTTTCTTTGACTTGGTCTGTCCACGAAGTTGAACAAAGAACGCCCTCACACTACGCCCCCTCCACCAGACCAGACCGGACCAGATCGATACCACACAGCACGTACGGCTTACCCCCCCTTCGAATCAACAAACAAGCTTGTTGGCTTAACGAGCCAGATCTTCCGGTACTTACCCCGGCTCCTACACTCATCACCAATCCTTCATAACAGAACCTACCATCAAACACATTCTCAACACCAGAGAGCAATATCAGCATCAACGGCAGCAGCCACAGCAGCAGCAGCGTCTACAACCCAAAACCAATATACGTGTTGCAAGTGCAAGTCCTTCTTCCACAATGCCCCTCCGCCGCCGAAACGAACCCGCACCCCCCTCCCCATCTTCCACCTCAACCACAGCCTCCTCCACAATCCCCCAACCACCACCGTACCAGCCCCCAACCATTGCCAATCCTAAATCCGACCAATTGACTCTGCACGCAACCTCACACGCCGCCCTCCTCGGCCTCCTGACCAGCAAACCCCTCCGGAACTTGAAGACGCATCTCCAGCATGCGCAGGAAAAGTTGACCGAGGCGGCCGGGGATATCAACGAGCGGCTGACGGACGCAGAGGAGCGGATGCGCCGAAAGAAGGAGCGAAACACTGAGGAGGGAGGGGATGATGATAATGATGAGGAGGAGGTGGCCGCGCTCAAAGAAAAAGTAAAAGCTACAACTGCCAAACTGGATCAGAAGATGCGGAGTGCGATTGATGCGGAGGTTAAACTGGAGGGGCTGAGTGAGATGCTACGGGGCTTAGACGGCAATGTGAATGTGGTGGATGGCGCGGTGGTTACTAGGAGTCGATCGACGAGAACTAGTCGGCGAAGTAGGAGGGATGAAGATGAGGATGAGGAAATGGAGGATGCTGATGCTCGTGACGATGACGAGGAGGGGCAGGGAGACAATGACGACGAAGAGAATCCCGGACCGACGTTGGTGGGCAAGATAGAGGAGAGTGTCACCGCGACGAAGGACAAGTGGAGTGGGTTGTCGCTCACCCAGAAGTATGTCAGATCCTGCTTCCTTTTTCATTGAGACAAGACCAGAGACTAACAAGGCGATCAGATACTCCACCAACAACGCCTACATCGGATTCTATCGCATCATCCACGAAGCCAAACACCCGGGTGATGATATTCCCCCACTCCCGCATGCCTCAACCTGGTTCGCCCACCTCGAAGATGTGGCCGACAAGAAACCCACAACTTCGGCTACCAGCAGAGGCGCGGCGACAAGCGCAGTATCAGGCGTGTCGGCTACCTCTCGCCACGCCGAAAATCCTTCCGCTGAAGAAGGCGATGACGAAGATGCTTCAGACGAAGACATCGCTATTTCCCGTGAACGCATCTCTCTCAAGTGCCCCCTTACTCTCCTCCCCTTCCAGGATCCGGTCACCAGCACCAAATGCCCGCATAGCTTCGAGCGCGAGGCTATCACCGCGATGATCGCGCAGAGCCGCACCACCGCCCCGGACCCGAGGCACGCTTCGTCCAGTGGACACGCGGGCCGACGTGCGCGTCGTGTGCACTGCGTCAAGTGTCCGGTGTGCGAGGTAGTTTTGACCGAGTTTGATCTGCGAAGTGATCCCGTTCTTCTGCGCAGGTTGAAGAGAGCCGAGGCTGCCCAAAGGCGCGAGCAGGAAGAACTCGAGGAGGAAGAGTATGATCAAGGAGGTGTTGGTGGGCGGAGGAAGAGAAGTAGGAAAAGCGGAATCACGCTTGCTAGTGATGATGAGGATGGCGACACAGCTACCTTAAGAAGAGTGGCGTCTCAAGAAGACCGGATCAGAATCAAACAGGAACGGGGTGTCTCCGCCGCTGCTGTGGACCTGGAGGCAGATGAAAATGTGGAAAATGAAAATGAGGAAGACGAAGAATTCGAGGACGAAGGACATTGGCAGGCAGGAGATGATGATGATGGGGAGGAGGACGAGGATGAGGACCAGGAGGTAAGGGCAGGAGAGAACGATGAAAACGACGAATTTGGAGAAGCGATTCAAGTGGCTGATGACATATCACAAGGCGAGGTAAATGAAGATCAGGAGCTGAGAGAGCAAAGCGAAGAGGAGGAAGCTGATGAGGGAAGTCAGGAGGTAAGAGACGAAGAAGGGGACGAAGGAGCAGAGTTTGAAGAGACAATGCAGGTGGCTGATGACACATTTCAAGATGAGGTAGCTGAATGTCAGGAGCAGGAAAGCGAAGAGGATGAGATGGAGGTTGAAGAAGAGGTAAAGGAGGTAAGAGAGGGAGATGAGGAAGCCGAAGAATCGATGCAGGATGCTGATGACACAATTCAGCATGAGACAAATGAAACTCAAGGACATGAGGGGGAAGTGGATGAAGAAGATGAAGAGGAGCTAGGGCAAGAGAATCAGGAACCACAGGAAACACATGGAGAAGAAAGGCAGGAGGATGCGGAGGATGTGGATGAGGCAATGCCATATGTCGATGCTGAATCAGCTGAACCACAAGACCATCAGGATGTCCATCAAGAAGAGAAAAAAATACAAATCCATGATATTGACACTGCGGTTGAACAAGATGACCAGGGAGCATCAGCGGAGGGCAAGAAACAGCACACTGATGCTGAAGAAGCCGAGAAAGAAGACGTGTGTGTTCATGCTCAACCACTTGAACAAGAAGATGAGGAAGATGTCCTCAAAGAAGAAGGCGAACCGCATCAGCATGTCAACACCAGAGCTATCGAACAAGAAGCTCCGGAAGATGAAGTGATACAGGAGGAGAGTGAGAACGATGCTGTTGAACGATCGGAGAACGAAGACCAGGTACATGATAGGGGAGAAGAAGACGAGAGTCAGCTCGCTGACGCTGAAGCAGATGAGCAGAATGACCAGGGAAGGGTAGAAGATGAGGATCAACAGCGTGTTGATACTGGCTCAGCTGGGCCGAAATATGCAGGCGTCAAAGAGGAGAAAGAGATTCAACAAGCTGCTTATGAACCAGCTGGACAAGATCAAAATGAGGAGGAGGATGGCATCAGGAGTCAGAAGAAACAAGGTGTTGGCGATGCCCTGATCAAGCCAGATGTCCAGGCAGATGCAGAGCAGGAAGATGAGGCACCTGCTGACTCTCAACTTCAACCTGTTAAAGAGCAAATCCAGGAAAATATGAAGGAGGAAGCAGAGGTCATCGAAAAGGACGATAAAGCGGCGCAGACAGGAGAGAAAGATGTCCAGAACGAAGAGCAAGAAAACGATGGAAGTCGTCAACTGTATGCTGATTTTGTTGAGCACAAAGCTCAGGATCAAGATGTGAATCAGCACGTCGCGACTGGACCAACGGAACAAACAAGCATAGAAGAGACAAAGAAGGAAGCAGACCATGCGCCCGAAAGCAGGGATGTAGTGGATGAAAAGAGAGAAGAGGAGGAGCAGAGTCAGCATGCTGAGAATGGGTCAGACAAGCAAGAAGACCAAGGTGGTTCGGAGAAGGAGGAGGAATATGAAGGTCTGCACGCCGGTGCTGAGTCAGTGGAGCGAGCTGAGCAAGGCAACGAGGAGCAAAATCAAGATCAGCATGCTGTTGAGGAACCTGTCGCGTACGGAGATCAGGTTGTTGTGGAAGAAGACGGAAATAAGCTCACCGCAGATGGTGCAGCGATTGACGATACCGACCAAGAAGGAGGCGGAGATGAGGATGTCAACGCCAATGTTGTTGAGGATGATATCGCCAAGCCTGAAGACCAAGATGATGAGAACATGAGAGAAGGAGGAGGGGGAGGAGAAGAAGAAGAAGAAGAAGAAGAAGAAGAAGAAGAAGAAGGAGAAGAACAAATTATGATAGCAGAAGAACAAGAGGAACGGGAACAGGAACAGGAACAAAACATATCAGAGGCGGACACTTCAGTGGAAGAAGAAAGGAAAGAAGATGGAGTGAACACTCCCGTCATTGACCCCGAGTGCATTCAACACGAAAATCATGAAACTGAAACCTCAGAGCAAGAATCAGGCGGGCAAAATGAACTAAAGGAGGATAATGAATCAGAAGAACAGGCTGATTCAGAAATACAGAATGAATCAGAAGGACAGGCTGAATCAGAAGTGCAAGATGAATTAGAGGTGGACAATGCAGTACAAGAAGGGACCGAAAATGAAGACGATAACCCACCTGTCGTCGACTCTGAGATTGCTGAGCTTGAAGACCAGGAAGAAACGGGCGAGGAAGATCAAGATCAGCTCCTGGCGGATGATGCAGTTGATGCAGTCGATGATACAGTCAATGATGGGGAGGAAGAAGAAGAGGAAGAAGAAGAACCAGTCAGCCTCGTCAATGCTGGGCCGATGGCCGGCGAGGTTGAAGGACCACCGGAACGGGAAGGAGCAAACGAGGGCCCGGGAGAAGAAGAAATCAAACATATTGACAATAAAGATATGGATAACAAAGCAGAGGATGAGGAAATAGACACCATGCCAAGGACCGGCGGACAAGAGATTGCCAACATTGATGATCTATTCGAAGAAGAAGAAGACCAAGAAGAGGTGCAATCGGTGCACTCAGAGGAAGGAGAGGGGTATATGGATGTAGAAGTGGAGGAAGATGGCCCAGCATACCGGAAAATTGATCCAGATTACGTGTATGAAAGATTGGAAGGAGAAGAGACCGATGATCCAGACGAGGAAAGGGAAGGAGAAGAAGCAGGATACGCGGACCCGGACGCGGACCCGGACGAGGACGAGGTGGACTACGAAGCGCTCGGATACGATTACGGAGACGAAGACGAAGAGCAAGACTCTATCCCGGACGATGAGATAGATTTTGAGGTCGATTACTAGGAGACTTGTTTGACGATATCTTGGTCAAATTTAGTGTTCACTCATGATTATATTCTGCAATACCCTTGTGCTCGGTCCCTTAAGCACGCCCTGGGATATATAACTAGTAAGAGATACATACGAAAAGCTCAGACAAATAAGAAACTCCACCCAGGGTACCGGCCATGAAGAAAGAGTGTAGTCAACAGCCATCACACATCATCGCATCTGTGCCAGACAGCATGCAAACCCGTGGCTGTTCTGTCCGTCAGCCCGTCAGCCCGATCGGGTGTGGCTTGCCGATTGGGCAATGAGCGGAATGCAGTGTGGGCGAAACAGAATGGTCTGTTCGGACGCGGCATTTCCTTGAATGATGCCTAAATATGGATCAAAAGGAAGGAAAAAAAAGGAAATACTCAATAAGAAACGACTTCGGAAATCACCTCGAACACACTACTTGGTGATGAGGTTGAGATAGTCGGCGACAATCAGTGTAACCATACTGGTGGATCCGCGGGGTTAGTGACAGCACTACGCGATAAGAAAGTCTTGGGGGTGGGGAAACTAACGCATGAGGAGCGATCCGCACATAGTAGGTGCCGAAGCCGCGGTAGAATCGCAACCAGCCCTCCTCTTGCGCCACCTTGCGCGCGCAGTCCAGCAGGCCCTTGTACGGCAGCTTGCCGGTCAAGGGATCCTTCTGCTGCTTCTGCAGACGAGTCTTGATGAAGTCAAATGGCAACGAGAGGAAGCTGGCGAAGAAACCGGCGATCGCAGAGGCGGCAAAGGTCTGGCTCTGGGCCGACAAATTGGTGTGGGCCTTCAATTGAGCCTTGGACTCCGCAAAGAAGGTCAATTGACCGACGTTGAGGGCCATCGCGCGCACGACTGTCGGCAAGGCACCGGCCCACAGGGCTGGAACACCTTCCGACTTGGAGATGCGGACAAGCGCGTCCAGAGCGGAGCGGTAGTTGGCCCGCGCGGCGGGAGGCTTGAGGCCGTCCGATTGCATACGGACCAGGGCCAAATCGGCTGGGTTGCCAATCATGGCTGCAATACCACCAGCAGTCAACCCGGCCCCCGCGCGTTCGGCAAAGGTGACCTTCCGGTTAGCAGCCTCTGCGCGCTTGTTGAGGGCTTTGCTGAAGGTGTCGAAGAAGCCCAGACGGGCGGTAGTGTAGACAGCCTGACGAAGGAGTCCAGCAGATAGACCAGTGTAAAGATCGAGTACCTTGCCCGACGCGATGATGTCGCGAGCGACGCCAAAGGCCGAGGGGCGAGGTCCGGTGCGGACGCCCTCGCCTGCTAATTGCAGACGGACTTTGATCATGTCAATGGGCTGAATGACGACGGTGGCGGTCATGCCAGCAAGACCACCATTGACGAAGGGAAGCGCCGCACGAGTGTAGGGGTGATGAAGGAAGTCCATGGCGGGCTGAGGTTCTTTGGCGGCGGCGACAGCTGGGGTCGTGGTGGTGGTTGTAGTAGAAGCCATGTTGATGGAGGAGCCGGGGTTCACTCCAGACCTATTCGTTATTGTCAGTGTCTAGGATCAATGGTCAATGCTGAAGAAGACGCTGGTCCGATTGAATGCAATGTCGCGACGACGGGCAGGGAATGAATATAAAGCTAGGCCAACACGAGGAAAAGCGGGGTGGGGAAACAAAGAAGCTTGGAATCAATCAATGAATGAAGGCTATGCCCCAGGCAAAAACAGTTGGGCCTGGCCAGGCACTTTCACAAGGGCATCCGGGGATCTTCCAAGAGGGGAAAGCCGAAGCTACTTACCGTGGATGGAAGAAGGCGATGCAGAAGCAAAAGGTGGGGGGTAGGGGGTAGGAGGAAGCTTGAGGAGGAGGCGGATAATTTATTTATAACTTGGGTGGAAGCGTTCCTGGTCAGATGATGGATGAGGAGGAAGAGGAGAAGGAAAATGTCGCGGGGGAAGACGGACAGGGAGCAGGGAGGGTGAGTCTTAAGCAAAGTGAGTAGAAGGAGAGGAGAGGAGAGGAAAGGGTCAAGGCAAGCAGTGCCAGGCCGGCAAGGTAACCACCATCGATGGATGGCTGGTTGGGATGTGGTACAGAGAGTCTGGTACAGTCACAGGGATGGATGGATCAATGGGTCCTACTCGGGCATCGGAACCTACAGTACAGTTCTGGTGGAGAATAGTTTAGTCGTATTTCTCTTCGAATAGTCATCTCCATAATAATCATATTATCTTTGAATACCTGATTGGCAAATGGATCAGTCTCCACAAGTATGTACAGTAAGAACAAGAACAAGTACAAGTACAAGTCCTTTGCACTAAGCAGCTACTGCATGATGCCCGCCAGCTGGAAAATGCGGGGGAGCGTGGCAACGTCATGTTCCGGTTGCTTTTTTGCTCATGTTCCAATCTTCATCCTTAATTTTGGTATCGTCGTTTCATACTGTATCACCCATCCAGCAATATGGCACATATACATAGAATATAAGAACAATAGAGACCATTTCCCTCATCATTCATCCAACCTGCCCTGCCCCTGCCCTGCCCTGCCCTGTACCTACTAAAAGATCATCGCTCATCGCTCATACTTGCAGGTGGAGTAACTACATAATCGGCCACTAAACCGCATCCAGCGCCTAACGAGAACCCCCCGGAAACCCCGGCCAGGCCCGAGGTTAGACTCCATACATATGAATCTCTTGGCTCGAACATGACATC